CTCCCGCGTGCCCGCTTCTCGGTGGCAGGTGTTTTATCTCGTTCACCTCTATCTTTAGCATTCATCCCTTTATTCAGTGAATACATTAAAAGGTTTCCAGGAGACCTGCATACAGACCTCCTAATGGGGTGCAGGGTATTTTCGCTTTTAATGAGCACTCTGTTAATTCTGCTGTTGATCATTTATGGCCCACACGTTGAGCAAGCATGGTCTAGACAAACAGGTTTTAATTCTTCTCCACTTCTGACTTCCCCTTAAGATCCCCAAGCAGATCTTCACCTTCTGTTTTGGTCCTACGCATAGATACATACCCTTGGTCATGAGGCCCTATAAAAAATATTCCACGCAAGTTGGACACGTTGTTTACCTTGTTACCCTCTCTGTGAAGTACGCATAATAATGACACCTGTTCTATGGTGTTAGGAAGATGCACCTAACTAGTCACAGAAAGTACTTAGCAAACTGCCCGATTTACAGCTCAATCCATGTTAGCTCTTAAGAAGTAATTCTGGGTGCCCTTTTTCCTCCCCTAGGCTGTGGACTCCTCTAAGTGGAGAACTCAGATTCTTCATTCTCGTGGCTACTGTCACTGCCTCCGCTGTCTGAAAGAACTGTCCAGTAGAACTTTCAAATGTGGTAGCCGCTAGCTGCATGTGCTTGCCAAAGCACTCGCAGTGTGGGCAGTGCAGCTTCGGAACTGAATTTTTTAACTTAATGTTAATAAATTTAGGTAGCCACCTGTGGCTAGCGGCTTCCGTGTTGGACAGCACCAGTTGGCAAATGTCTGTCGAATGCAAAAGAGAATGAACGCCTTAGTGTATTTGTTCCCGGTGGAAAGAGAGACAGTGATGAGTTGAGAGAAGTGGAAAGTGCAGAGGAGGAAGAGAAAGGTGGATTCAGCTAACAGGTATCCTCAAAGGCCATCTATTTCAACTTCCATCCAGTGCTTGAATTTTTCTCACAGCATTACATTGCATTATATTCAGAAAACTTTCATCTTGAACGTTCTCCTTGTAACTTGTACCCTTTGGTCCTTACCACCTAGGCTGGTTCTAATCACTCTATCATAAAGAATCCACTCAAATATTTAAAGGTTGCTATTGTCCCTGTCTTTCCCCCAGAGCTTTCAATTCTCCAAGCCAAGCAGTTCTCCATAATACAGTTTGCTAGTGGTGTTTTATTGGGGAAGCTGCTCATCCACATCTACAGGAGATGGGTAATCCTTGTACCTACCTTATAGGGCTGGTGTGAGGACTGAATAAGATAGTGAACGCAAAGGTGCTCAGCAGAGTGCCCAGCATTTAGAAAGTGCTCATTAGATGTTCGTCGTTGTCAACAAAGAGACACGCTTTGCATTGTGTTTTAGAAACACGGCATTTATTTTGGTCAAACTGGTCTGGAGGGAGAAAGCAAAGACAGGGTTTTGGTGCTCTCTGAAAAGCAAGTGAATCGATGCCACTTACTAAGTGATAGAGTTACACCATGAAGTTAGTGAGGTCAAAGATGGCAAATTACACACACACTGGCACTGTAATGATTATTATAACCTAGGCGAATACGCCCAATTTCTTAAAACAAACATTCTAACAAATACAATTTTCTATAACAAACATAGTGAGTAAATTCAGTTTCTCACCACAAACATGAAAAACAGGCTTTGAGGTAATCCTGTCGTCGAGGTTAAATATTACATTCCATTAAGCTATCTCCATTTAAAAAGCAGATTCTCATAGCAAACAGACCTGTCAGAAACTCAGTCTCAGGGAGGTGGGAAACAGAATAGGTAAACATCTAACCTAAGATCTTCATCTTACCTGACTCATGCTCTTTGTGTGTGTGCCTGCCTTATGATAACTTATTTATAAACGTTCTTTCGTTTTTTCATCTTTCCAGTGACAACTAACTCAGGGCTTTCAATTCTCAAGATCACTAGTATGAGAATAAACGCCCACTGAGAATACACTGTTACATAAATGTGGTACATCATATGTGTAGCAGCCTTGAAAGATGTCTAAGTTTCAGCACCTAGAATGTACATAGTGGGCTCTCAGTAAGTATGAATGAATGAATGGATGATTGAGTAGAGAAAGGATCAGAAATTATTTACTGTAACATTTGTTTTGTCCACTTATTCATCGTTTTCTTCAACAAATGTTCTTTGGGAATGATGGTGAGCGCAAACAGACCCAGGTAACTCTCTCACAAAACACAATATTCGAAGAGATAGTCATGAATTTTTATAAATTTTGAGTAAAAGTAAGGCTGATAGGAGTTATGAAGAAAAAAGGCAGAGTTATAAGGTTCAGTACTTGGATGATTGACCTCACCTAGGAGATCTAAAGTAAATAAATGTGTTTGTGTATTATATATGTATGTTAGTAAATGCATTGACGTTTAGGTTGGATCTGTGTCGAATCTGACAATGGTTCTTGGTTTTAATGGGATTAGGTATGACATACTCTCTACATAAGACATCTCTGTATTATTTGGAATTGTCTCACAGGCATTTGTAATTAGAAAAGGCTACATGTATATAAATCTTACATCCAGATACATAGTTTTCACACTATATTGGTGGTGCTCAGTGTCGGGGAAGAAGGGTGAATTTACATGCTTGCTTGAGAGGGAAAAAAAGCGGTAGAATTAGATAGAGCTGTCGAGGTGGGCGGAATTTCCAGATGGCCCCCAGGTCTCCATCTGCCAGTTCAGTCACCTCCGTTATTCAGTCAATCACTGATCTAGGCACTGCTGTCAAGGGACTTTCCAGAAGTAATTAAGTCTTCAAGCAGTTGACTTTAAATTAGAGATTATCATAGGTGAGCCTGACCTAATCAGGTGAGCACCTAAAACAAGTCAGAGAGATTGAGGCAAAAGAGATCCTTCTTGCCACACTCCTGTGAATTGCCCGTGATAACCTGAGAGCAGCCTCTAGGAGCTGAGAGCAGTCCCCACCAATGACCAAAAAGAAAGCGGGGACTTCAGACCAATAGCCACAAGAAACTGAATCTTGCCGACAACCAGTGAGCTCGGAAGAGGATCCCAACCCTCAGATGAGATCACAGGCATGGCCAGCATGTTGACTGGAGCCCGATGAGGCCCTGACCCATACCCAGAATCCTGACCCAGGACAACTGAGATAATAGTTTATGTTGTTTTAAGTCGCCGACATGTGGTAGTTTGTTACACAGCGATAGAAAGCGAATATAGCTAGTATTGGAAATCAGAATTGGTTATAACCTGCGGCTTGGCATACTTGTCTCCAGCCTGAGTACTTAGGAGTTTTTTAAAACACTTGTTTCGAATGCGCTGCTACCCAATAAGGAACCTAGGCAGTGGAATAAAGTCTGCATTCAGTACAACTGCATTCTGTCAGTACTCTCGCCTCATCACTGCAAACAACTGTGCAAGTGCCTTTCAAACATTGTCCTTTCCAGAAATATTTTCATAAGTCTTTCCTGTAGGGCTGTAACTGATATGGCCATGAGCATTTTCTGTCTCTCTCTCAGCAATAGTTGTACCACGTAGAGCTCGTGCGGACTGTTCTTTGCATTAAGCTCTCCCACAGGTCGACTGTGATCAGTCTTGAAGCCTGGCAGTTGTTCTCTGCCTCACGGCCTGTTAGAATCAGCTGGAGAACTTTAAGAATACTGATTCCAGGCTCGTGCCCCAGACCCATGGAATCAGAATTTCTGGGGTTGAGCCAAGACATCCGTATTCTCAGAGCACCCCTGGGCGATGCTAGTGTGCAGCCAGGCTAGGAAACTACGCTTACAGGTTTACGGCAGGGCCTCTCCAACCTCGCTGTGCACACAAGTCACCTGGGAGCTCATTAAAATGCTGACTTAGCGTCGGCAGGTCTGGGGCGGGGCCTGAGATGTTGGATTTCTAACTCCCCTGGGATGCCGATGCTGCTGGTCCTTGGGCTATACGTTGAGTAGCAAGGGTTTATGGGATTGCTGTGGCAGTCGTGCCCCAGACTGGCAGTCTTACCTTCATGCCCATCCCATGACTGCCCGGATGGCTCGTCATCCTTCTGCCCCATTCTGTCCTCCCACCGCGTTCTCTTCTGTCTCATTTCTGTACGCTTTTGGCGTCTTCCCTTAGGCACCTTCCTCATTCTCGTCCTCCTTTTATTCCTTGGACCTGTCATAATTTGGGGGCAAAATCTAAGGCTGTACCTTCTTGGGGAAAAATCTCAGACTCTTACATAAATCCTAGACTCTTTTCACACAAGAGAACCATCACCTCTTATCCATTTTAAATAAGATGGTTCACGTCAATTATTAACCTGTAATGGCCAGTTGTTTTTTATTTCCATAAACCACCAACTGAAATAAAATTTAAGACTATTATTTAGAGGAAAGACGATCACATCATAAACTGCAGGGAAGTACGGCACTGAGGATTTTTCCCCCCATTCCCTTCAGAGTACGAAGCTGAGATGCCTGCCTTCCCGGAGGTATACAAAGCCAAACCGGAAGCCGTGATTCCTGTGAGTATCGCCCCGCCTGCCCGAAGCGAACGGCTCGGGAATGAGAACAGCACTGATAGCTGGTGGACATGACACAGTGTCAGGAGTTAGGGAAGGCGCGGCACCTGGAACTGGAAACCTGGGGCTGGGCCTGGCTCTGCCACTAACCACGTGACATAAAGGGCATCACATCACCTCTTCGACCCTGGGTTTCCACGTCTGTTAAATGGATCAGATAATCCTTGACTAACTCATAGGGCCTCTGTGGGGCTCACGTGAGATCCTGGATGAGAAAGGCCTTTACGGTGAAGGCAGCACCATGCCCATGTGGGGGACAGTTGCGGATAAAGCGGGTTCCCCAATACATGCCCAGATGGGCAAGCGGAAGACGGCACTCGGGAACATGGGCCAAGAACAGGGTGGCCTGGATGCAGGCCCTCAGGCGGCCTAGTTGGAGCAAAATAGGAACCTCATGGAGTTTAAAATGAAAAAGCAAGGCTCCGAGAGATGAAGGGACTTGAGCAGGGTCACAGCGATGGGGCCAGAACCGAAGTCCGGATTTCCAGTACGTTACTGCAGCTGCTGCTGTCAGGTTCTCTCGTGTCTGAGAACTGTCTTGGCCTATGACTGATCTTTTATTCGTGGCATCCTATTCTTGTTTTATGGATGCGATGTTTTCTCAAATTGCTCTGCAGACACTAACCACAGTTCCCTCCCCTGAATTATTTGTGTTCCTTCCAGGATCAGTCCTTTGTGGATCTTGGTCTTTGCCTTTTGTGCTGCCGATGTTCTTTATCTGTGTAGAGAGCTTTGATTGTCTGTTCAGAATTTAAAATGGAGGCCTGAGTGGACTTTTCTACCTAACTGGTATGGTTCTCCTCTGCTTTTGTACCTGCGGGTTTGTTTTCTGGAAGGGTCTCTTCTGTGAGCAGAAACACTGACTGGGAGGTCTTGGGGAGTGACCGACCACTGGGAGACTCCCCTTCAGGGTCAGCAGGCAGGGAGCCTGCAAATCAAGGGTGAGTTCTCTTCCTTCTGGCCACCGGCATGGTGCCCTGGGTAGTCCTGCTCCGTCCAGGCTGTTGGGTGAACTTGTTTACAGGAGAGTAACGGGGAAGGAGAGCTGGGTAGAAAATGCTGGTGTGAAGGCGGCTTTATGTATATGGAAGGGGGTGGGGACGGG